TCCCCCTAGGGACACTTGCGCTAAATGTACATACAAATATAATAAAGAAAATATTCAACATGGAAAGATACACAGAAAGTTACTTAAAAGATTCATAAATATTATTTACATATAGAGATATTCTTTGAATTTTATTTACAGTTACATCATTAAATGTAAAATATATACATATATACACACATATATACGCATACACCTATATATTGTTTACAACCATATAATATGTACCATATTTCCTTGAGATCGTTACATCAAAGACCATTTTTCTTAATGAAATCCAAAATATATTTTAACAACTTAAGAAAATGTAACCTTTCAAAAATATAAATATAATATATATAAAATCATTTTATTAAAATGTTTATAATATATTTTTATATAATACTATAAAGGTAATAAGAACAAATCTTATTAAATTAATATTGTACGACGTTTCGGTAACAATGCTGTTACCGAAACGTCACACACTATTTATTCATTCATTTAGATTTGCTCTTATTATCTTGTAGTTCTAATCTATAATCCAAATTGTACCTTATAATTATATAGTAATTTGTTAAAAACATCGGAAAATTATCTACCTATGTAAATTTTCCTTGTTAATTATGTCAATTCTAAATATTTGCGCGACATCGGGGCTGAAGATGAGCTAACCGAATGAAGCAGGCTATTTTACATGGTTGTCCAAAAGTTTCTTAAAACTTGCAAAAAATAGAGATACCAATATATTTCGCCATTATATATAATGTCTTTGTATTATGTATGAAGTAATTTTATTATGTATTATTATATTTCCACCGAAACAATATTATTCGCCAAGTAATAAGATAAACAATGTGTTTTAAGAAAAACACGAACTTTCGGGACAATCTAATAGATGGATTAGGTAACTTATTTTAAAACACTCTCATACAATAAGAAACTTCCTACACCGAGTACAATCGATTCCCGATTTGAAACTAAACCAGGGGCCAGAAAATCCAGGTCTTAAATACGATTAGGTGTTAAATATGATGTTTTACAAATCATTATCAATGAAATAACAACAAATTGTTGTGTGCGTGTTGAAAACAATTGCTTTATCGTGAAGACAACATGTCATACAGATCTACAACTAAGGAGAAGCATGGAAAAGTGTAAATACTATCTAATTTTATT